TAAACATAGAGGGAATAAGGGCAGGAACCCCTGTGCACCCATCACCCAGCTTCAGCAGTTAGCAGCGCATGACTGTCTTTGTTGTTCATGTGTAAACCCGCTCTGCTGCCTCCCCCCACACATACACACTTGAGAGGATATTTGTAAAATATTTTAGTCTGTCTTTGTAGGTCAGCTATTGTTCTAAGGGCAGTGGAAAAGCATTGGAGATTTTTAAATGGTTGAGTGAATAAAAATCTAAGGTTTAAACAGATTACTCTGTTGTATTATGCCAGATTGTAGGAGTCAGTAATACAAGCTAGGAGACCCAGTTTAGGAGGCGGCGTAATGGAGCTGAGATGATGATGGTAATTTGGACTACGGCCATAACATGAAGATAGATGCTCAGATTTATGATAGAAGTCAGTAGGTTGACTGATGGGTTGAATATGGGAAGTGAAAGTTTATTTAGCAATAAAAAAATAATGTAAGCTCAGAGTATTTTTTTACATGGAATGTTATTGAAACACCCAAATTTGACCAATGAGAGCTATGTATATAAATTTAGACACAAATTCTAATTACCATTTACAAATAATGTATTTCGTATCTAAAAGAGTTTCCTTAATTATTTTTACGTATTTTAAATTTTTACCTTTTTGCATTATTATCTTTAGTTATGAAATACTTGACATAAATATTTCTTGAAGACATTGTTTAATGTTTAATAAAAAAATCCAACATTTACTACCTACATTAATTACAGGGGGTTGTGAAATTAAGTGTCAATATATGTAAAGCACTTAACACAGTACTTGGTTCGTTGTAAACCTTTAGTTACAGGCTATAAAAGTAAAAGTAAACATAAATGGATTATAAAAATGCTTTTTTGATTCTTGTATTTCAAGGGCTGCACTATGTAACATCAGTGGAATAGAAACAATTTTGGAGCTTAAAGAAATTTCATTGAGCTCGTCAGAGACTCTGGCCTCTGAGGATAAAACAGAAGAGCCACGTAACTAGTTGTTAGGAGAGAAGCTGAGCCGCTTATGCGGTTCTTTAAATTTTATATGATTTGGTAAATTGGGTTCCTGTTCCTGGAGCACCGTGGATCTGGGTTTGTAATAAGATCATAGCAAAATTACTAGTGTTTGTAGTTAATTTTTACAACATCCTCATTGTTCCTTCAGTACAGACTGGAAGTTTACATAAACCCTGTGCCTGGATTCCATACAAAGTAACTGGGTACTAAGTTAGAGAATTTAGTTGCTCATAATCTTATCTTATTTGTTTGTAAGCAAATTTTTTGTTATGTTTTTAGATTTAGATTTTTACAAGTAAAGCAACTTATTTTACTTATTATTTTTTTTTTAGGATTGCCACATTATAAAGTCAAGTTAGTAAGCCAAAATCACAAAACATGAACATTTAGGAAAAAGAAGTTTGTGAAAAAAATTACATAAGATACATCTGGTTGATAAAAAATGTATTATTCATTGGCTCAACCATAGATTTCAAAGTAATCATTTAACCAAACTTCTTTGTTTTGAGGCTGGTTGCAGAGCGTAACTCTCAGATTGTATTGCTGAAGGTAGGAGCTGTGTCTGTTCAGACACTAAGGTGGTTACTGCATGACACAATTGAGCATTGTTGTAAATGCTCAGTGTATAGTAACTAACTCATTTAGTTCGCAGCCCAATCATATGAGATAGGTGCTGTAATTTCTGTTTTACAACTGAGGAAGCTGAGGAACAGGGAAGATTAACTTACCAAAAGTGACAGAGTAAGTGGTCCAGCTGAGGTATGGATATAAACCATCTGACTTTAGAGTCTGGACTCTTAACTATTTGTAGGCACTCATTCAATACCTGTGTGGGTGAATGGATGAGCCGATGAAAGCATGCATGAACAAATGGACGAGTATTGAAAGAAACCATAAAGAGATTACAAAATAGNGCGAGTATATAACAAACTCTGTATTTTGAGTGGAAATGTTAGGGGGTCGTCTTATACGCCCAGTTGTCTTATACGCCGGCAAATACGGTAGAATTTAGGTTCTAACTTTTTTCCTTGCAACTTGGAAAGGGTTATTCTATTTTTTCTGGTTTTACTTTTGCTAATGAGAAGCCTGATTATAATCTATGTTATTTTATAGATACTCTGTTTTGTTTTATCCCCTCTCTCTGGAAGATTTTTGGAATTTTCTATTCTTAATGTTCCAAAATTTTACCAGAACATGTCTAGGTAGCTCCTTTTAGCCTGAAGATACTATATTTCTTTAGTTTAGGGATAGTTTCTTCTATTCTGTATTTTTCCCTCCTTTGACTTCTCTCACATATGGAATTTCTGTTAGACAAATGACCTTCTGACTATATCTATAGATGGACTTTATGTTCTGAGTTTGAGGATATTCTCTCACCTTGATATTGTGCATCATTGACCTGGCATTCAGCAAGGTCAGTTTTATTATTCACTTCATCTACTGAGTTTTTATTTCAGAATTTATCTTTTAGGTTTTTTAATATCCTTAGTTTTTGCTTTTCATTGTATAGCATTGTATTTTGCAGAGGTCCATAAATCTGTTTGATAATTTGTGTTATAATTTTTAAAAGAGATTTCTTCTATATTGAACTGTTAATTATGCTTTATCTTGATCTTTTTTCTGTTATGCTATTAGTTTTCTTCAAATGTCTGGTGATACCTGATTTTGTATTAATATTTATGAATGAAAGACTATATTTTGGTTATTTTAAATAGCTGACATTGACTTTCTCGTCATTTGTGAAAGTCTATGTCATCAATAGCTATCTTCCTCAGGAAACAAAAACAATTTGCACCAGCATTTTCTCTGTCTTACAGGATTACCTCTGTTTCTGAGCCCATATCCCCCACCCTACTCCAAGAGATACTCTTGCTACTTTGCATACCACTCTCAGAACCTGTCTGCCTCTGGTCACTGGGGGACACCAGTGAAAGACGGGAAAGAAGGATGAGAACTGAGCAGTGGGGAAGAATTTAGGATTCATCAGCTAGCTGTTCAGTAGAGGGCATTTTGACATATGCCCTTTTGTGGTTTAATGGTGGTTACTGGTATTGGTAGATTTTTGGAGGATGACAGCAATGCTTGATGAAGCCATATCTCCATTTTTTCAAGTGATTAATTTACAGTGTAGTATTTTTCTGTTGTCTGTTAATTATATATTTATAATGTTCTGTATGTGCAAAAGTTATGCTATTATTCTGTATGTTTAAAAGTTATGCCGATATGCTATTTTTTTGCACTATCCATTTGAATTTATTCAAAATTGATACAAAAAAAGATAGCGATTAGTTGGTTTATTAGGTGAAATGGGTGAATTTTTATTTTAGACATAATTTTCTTAAATGAAATATTTCTTGGTTTTCTAGGTTAATTCATTTGACTTAAGAAATATATATAATAGCTAGAAGGCAAACACAAATAGCTAGAAAAATCATGTGAAATGGCAATGATGTGAATGTTGAAATAATTGATCCGTGTTTCTTTGGTTTGCTTGTTATGGTAGAGAAAGGCATTTGAAGAAGAAAGAGCCAGTTGGTTAAAGCAGCAGTTTTTAAATATGACCACCTTTGACCACCAGAACTCAGAAAATGTGAGACTTTTCAGTGCCTTCTCAGGAAGTGAGTACTTCATAAAC